TTAAGCATATAATTACAATTTATATCTATAATTTCAGGAATAGTATAAATAACCTTTCGTTCAGTAGAAATTACGTTCCTGTTTTTTGAATGTGGCTCCAAATACTCTCTCAATTCATCGCAAATTAAAATAACTATAAATTTTGGCAATCTGAAATTCGCGATGAAAACATCTTCTGGCAGAGCAAAAGCATCAACATATTTTCTATAAATCCACCACCTTTCTTTCAGAGATCTACGACGGTATTCTTCGTTTAAATATGAAAAAAAAAAAAAAAAAAAAAAAAAAAAACCAGCGGCGAAAACACATACAAAGCCATTGCCTACTTAGTATGTCAACTGCACAACCCTGATTGACGACGCGGCAATACTTTTTGCGTGCGCTATCGACAACTTCCGTAGTCAGAGAATATAAGATGTCAGGCAGACCTGTTTTTCACTAGTAGTGACATCTGGCAGCCCACAACTTGCTGTCGACTCTCGTAGTGTAGAATAACCGTCTTGATGGGCTGGTTTTGCCCTTACGGAGGAAGGAACTTGTTTTGTGTCCATACTTTGGTTAGACAAAAAAGATATTTTTTCTGGAAATCCAAAACAGAAAAGGGAGTTTTCTATTGCCTTGTTACTAATTTTGTGCATATTTCTGATTTTAATTGCTTATCAGAGCTGTTGCAAGAAATTTTTTCACTTGAGGCAGAAAGGTAAATGCATGTCCCTATATACATAAAAATTATTTGTATTAAGAAAAAGTAACTGTATTAAATCAAAATATCATAATTCTTATAGCATAACTATACCATAATTCTTAAAGTATTTTTTAATCGTAGTTTTATAAATTCAGAAAAAAAATGTAGCCAATTATTTATAATTTTCAAATGAAAACGTTAAAATATTCTTTCTTGATAAATAAGAAATAACATCGAAATGCACATTGCATTAATTTCCAGGTTTTCTTGCAATTTTTAACATAAAGTAATTTTCGAATTCATATTCCAAATTTGGCGCCCCTTCTAGTCATTCACCTGAGGCAAGTGCCTCACTTGCCTCACCCTTGTCTCGGCTCTGTTGCTTATTAAGTAAAAATGTTATTGATTTTTATTGTGTTTCAGTATTTTAATGTACGTTTATAGAATGTTAATTTGTTTTTAATGCATATCTCAGTAATATAATCTACAATACAGTAATACAAAAAGTGGAATTGCTGCAAAAAATGGATAAAGGCATATCCTTTGTTTTTCTAACCATTCCAAAATCTCAAAATCTGTTTATCAATTTCACTCTGATCTGCGGCCGGGGGGGGGGAACACGGCGCCGCACAATGAATTTTAAGTTGATCTGTCAGCACTATCCTTATCTTCAGGGCAGATGTTATTTTATTTGACTTATAATTCCTTACTAAATGTAATATTTCATCTCGATGTACTCCGTCTTTGATATGATTTAAATCAAATTCCTCGTCATTATAATTCGCTTCCAATAGTGAAGAAAGTGACACAGAGGTTATTGAAAACGAAAAAATTTCGATTGAGAAATTAGTTGGTATTCTTGACATAGTAATTATAGGACTTGAACAGCGGAACTTTGTAACTGAACAAGAAATTATGTCTGTTTATAGAATAAAGAGAAAGTGTTATCACATAAAATGAAGCAACTTAAACAACTTACATTGAAAGAAATGTTTAATAAAGTAAACAAATTAAATATTAAGCTTTTTTTTTTTTGGTACCCTTTAGATCATAATTGTTCTTTATTTCATAAATTACGGTTTCATATTTTTAATTTTATAATTTCTGCATGCCATCTTACCAGATTTAAACTGATGATCTATAATCCGGAATCGCTGAAGTCCCGACGAGTCCGGATTAACCACTTTTGACTGTAAATAAAAAATAATATAAATGCGTGAATAAAATTTTTTGTTTTTTTCATTTGTTCTATAACATTCTCAGACTTCCGTTAGTAATTCTACGCATTAAACTAAAAGACGGCCTACCGTCAATTCCACCTCGACAGTCGCTCACTTCATCAGTTCTTCCACTATGGAAATTAATACAAAAATGCACTTTGTTCCCGTTTTTTACTCTTCAGTCAGTCAAAAACAAGCTTCTTAAAGTGACTCAGAATAGTGTAGTGCAATTATTGATTTTTAGGTGGTATGTTCCAAGTCTAAAGGGGCATTCCCACTGAGGTTTATCTGAGCTAATGAGTCAGTTTTGTGTGTCGACTAGCTCCGCTATGCCTGCAGTTCCTATGGAAAAAATCTGGTTTTGGAGATGGGTCGGCTACATCAGTTGTCTCCGTTAGCTCAGATAAACCCCAGTGGGAAATGCCCTTAAAGAATTTTTTAAACCATGTATTTTAACTGGTTTCTTTACTCATGTACAGTTTACCCATGTATTAAAAGTTATTTGTGTAATAAATATGGCTTTGATATCTGCTGTCTTCTACAATGTTACACTTTTAATGTCCGTCAGTGTTTTATGATTGCAACAGTTATTTATATTAAAGTTAACTGGGAAAAAATTGAAATGACTGTAGAAAACTACAAATTCGAGAAAAATCCATACTCATTCTGCAAGGTAATTCTTACACCGTGTGATTAATAGGCATATGGTAAGTACATTAAGTGCTGGTATCAGTAAAATATGTTGGCTGAGCGAATGTTTTGCATACAACTTCTCAAATGTACACAAATATAAATTTATTCGTAGTAACTAATTTATTTGTACTAAATCATTAATAGGAATTTTTATTTCTTGATGAAACAGTTTACCTAACTTGTTAGCTTTTATACATTTTTGTAACACACGCATATTTTCATGTTCAGTTTACATATTTCCTAATGGATATTTTTTTCTTTCACTTTATTGATCATTTCCTGAAAACTATTGTTGCTGTTTATTATTACTTCATTAAAATGCATTTAGAATTTTTTTCCCCAGAATTTTACTTCATGTTATGATACAAATAAGCATTATTTGAATAAGTTTGGAACATTCAGATCTTGGAAAATATAGGTTTTACCCAGGTTTGACTGGCATCATTCTAAATCTCAAAGCAAAGTTATAGCACATTACTTCAGAGGCAATTTTGATTAAAAATCTGTGCAAAAATAACACTCAACAAGAGAAGTTATCCTAGCTGTATCTAAGCAAATGTTTTGTGACACATATTTATGTGGATGTAATATATTTATTACATATTTCATTATAAATACAAAGGTTAAGATTTTTACTAAGCATGCATTACTATTACCTAGATCCATAATTAAAGCCATAAAACATTTGTAAGCTGACCTCAGGTAGGTTCATGACTGGCTTAGCCTTTTCTTGTATTATGTAATCGCAGAAGTATATATGAAACAAATATCCTTCAGTAAAAGCCTTCCATGAGAGTATCTCTTCTTCACAAACATAAAAAAACCTGACACAGAGTTAATAATTTATGATAATATACAATAACATTCACTAAACTACTCTATGTAACCTTGAATTTGTGATAAATTAGGAAACATTAATTAAGTCCTTAATTTGCATGATTTGGGAAGTTTTGAACTACATAGATTAAAACTGATTCATTTAAAGAATGTCATCATGTTTAGTTTCTAGTGCTTCCTTATTAAAGAGGCCATTCCAGTTAGTAATCAAAACTTGAATAAGGAAGTACCCAGTTTCTTTCTATTTTTACAGTAAATATCACTCAAAACAGCTTTATATATCTTAGCAGGCACATAAAGTCTGTCATGATGAAAAGAAATCTGATACCAAGACAGTCCGGTATTTATAACTAACATATTGAAGTAACAAAGTGTCATGCATGTATAATTATTTTAGCTTTGGATATGTTGTTATTGTTTATGTCAGGACAGTCCAGCTATTTTGTAATTGTAAGCCTTTCTTCATTTTAATTGCAATCTACTGATGTGAGAGAAAGTATAAAATAAAATTATGTAAAGTGTCATACACGTATTTCACTTAAACAGAATAAACAATAATTGAAACCATTAATTCACCATTCAACTTTGCTAGAAATATCATAATGACCATTTCCAAGTTTCTGAATGCTTATTTTTCTCCTGTTAGTTGCACAACTTAGTATGCAGCTGAATGCCCACAACAAAAACCAAAATTCATGGACTTACAATACTTTACTGGTGACAAAATAATGTCTCAGTTTGTCTTCACATACCTTTTTTAAAAGACAGACATCATTAGAAGTTGCTTTATATTTTGAAACAATCAAAAACAGTATTCTTTTTCAGAATTTCAGTTGTTAATGTAAAAGTTAACAGTATTCCTTTTATAATAAGACTAAGATTACGGTAATGTTATTGCTGTTTGTGAGCTGACGTATAGGTCTAGTATGGCCGTTTTTTAGGCATTGTGGTAAGAATTCAGGAATTTTGGTTGTCTATTTACATTCGGTGATGCAATCTCTACATAATGTGTGAACTGCATGTTTTAATTCCCTTATTTGTACGTTTTCTTTAAGCATTTGTTGCTTATTTTTTTTAGCACAAGCATATTATGTCATCCATTTCAATGGACTTATCAATTTCAATCATATTCCTTTTACTTACACAAAATAATTTTCTGTTTGTGCATACAATTCACATTGCCCCCATCAATCAGAAGTCCTTAAATCATATTCTGAAGAAAATAAAAACTGGGGGAGGGGGGCAAGAATATCTGAGTAAATTCAGTATACCTTTACATATCCTGGTAACTGCCTAGGTCATCTATCTATGCATCAATCTGGCCCTTCCCTTCACATAAAATAGAAAACCACATGTGAGAAATGTATGTTATTTTTTTAAAGGACATATTGTAAGCTGCTATTATTAAGAAAAGATATACATAATTTAAAGTTATTAGTATCAAATATAGAAGACAGAAATTTATGTATTAGTGAAAATGTGTTTGTGTAATTCATATCAACAATTACTTCTATTCATCCAGTGGGGAGCTATGAAGATTTGAACAAAAGATTCACAAGATAAAATGTCTTTTCTAATAATATGTTTTACTTTTTACAGCAATAGAAAAAAAAATCAGTATGCAAGAACAGAAACATTTTAAGATTAAAACAAACTGTTACGCTATCCACTGCTCACCAAAAGAGCGTGCTCCTGCTATTCGTATAAAGCTAAAAATAATTTATTTCTACTTTTAAATTAATGAAGTTTTCTGTGATTGTGTTTCAGAGATGTGGCAACATGCAATTATTTTTATTGTAATTGTGTTCTAAATATATAAGTCTAATATTTTGTGGTTTGTGTTATCTCTAATATTTTGTGGTTTGTGTTATGTTATGTTCACCTCTTTGTGGAATGGGCTGGAAATCAAAACTCTACACAATAAATATCATAAATATTTCTATAGTGTGTTGTGTTTCCAGTTTGTACGTTGGAGCAAAAGAAATATTTATGATATTTATTGTGTAGAGTTTTGATTTCCAGCCCATTCCACAAAGAGGTGAACATAACACAAACCACAAAATATTAGAGATTGTAACTGATGTTTGATAACACTCATCAATGCCCAGTTTTAAAAATTCCAACTGACAAATTGATTTATAAAACACTTATATTTATCATTCAATGCAAAATGCTTGCATAGAGCTGGATGACTTCTTTAAATAGCAAGAATATAAACTGCATGCCCTCATGTTCCAAAAACACAGTCAATTTTTTATATTTCAACACACTGATCTTTACTAAAGTTATTTAATTTTTGTTGATTTTGGTTGTGAATTTGAGATAAATAGGAGCAAATTTATCCAGAAAAATTCCAAAATAATTCTTTTCATGAACATTTTTCTATCGAAACTTCAAATTCTAAGCTATGTGGTCGAAGCTCTGATTTGGGTAGTAAAATAGTTTTTTTCCGGGGAGCGGGTTGTTGGCATTTTTATGAGGTCAAACTATGATTAAGTCGCACTCTAGAAGGACATGCATACCAAATGAAATAAGAAATCATAAGATTGGTATATATAGTAAGTTATTTGCACATGAAACGACGTTAAAGGCACATATTGCTTTCCATACAGGTAAGAAACAACATGAGTGTGATCATGCCATTTATAAGCAAAAGTCCTATATGGAAACCACATGAACAAGTTGTATGTGGTGAATTATTTGCATGCAGGAATCATTAAAAATAAAATTGTTTACACACACTGGGTCCAAATTATATGAATGCAATATTTGTAAATCATTTGCACACACAAATGCATTAGAGACAAATACTTATCCATAACAATGAAAATGACATGAATGTGATATTTGTAACTAGTTATTCACAATTAAATGTGTGTTAGGAACCAACATATTTTTACCCACACTTGTGAGAAATCATAAACATGTGCTAAATATAACAGTCCATTTAAATTCTAAGGTCATTTAGCAATACAAGTGATTATTTACTCTCATGAAAATGTTATATGCAATAAATCCTTTGCATGCAAGAGTGACCTAGCTAAGGAGTTTACTAAAAAATGCTGCCTTTGCAGGGAGATCTCTCAGATTTAATCTTCAGATGTTTCTTGTTGCATGACTCCTGTTCTTCTTCAGCTGATTTTCACAACACTTCTTTATACTAATCATCATTATGGCATTTCTTGCAAACTGTAAATACAAAGAAGAAAATATCTAGAATTACAAAATAACCTTGCTTTTAGAATAAAAAGTTAGTAGAATAAGAATTTCTTCTGAAATTTTATTAGAATTGTCAAAACAGAACACAACATAAAGCGATCACTTTGGTATACATATATTTTTAATTCATTTTTTAAACCTGCAATACAACACAGTAGCATTCTGAATTAAACTTATGAGAAATACAAAACTGTAATTAAAAATTATTAATGTTCACTAGAAAGTATGAAATTATCCACTTTAAGGATATTTACCTAAACGATAAGTGGAAATTAAGGATATAAATTTCTAAATAGATTTAAAATAAATAGAATAAGAAAAAGAAGCTGGAATAAAACATTTAAAAAAAGACTGATGAATAACATTTTGCAAATATGTAAAATGTATATAATGTAAAATGACATTTTCCCTGTATATAAAGAATTATATATATAAAATAGCATTATTTTTGGTACTTTTGAAAAAAAATTCTGAAAATTAGTAGCCTGCACCCGATAAGTGACTTTTACCTTTTCATTTGTAAAACATTGGGAGATTGCCACAGGGTGGTTGCATTAATACTTAAGTACCTTATATTTAGCCTAATAAAGTTATTTCTTGACATATAGCCATCATTGATATTGAAACAGTATCTCCTCAGACTTTTCCAGCAAATGATTAATACCAAGAATAAAGAACACTCTTTTTAGCTTGAGAATAGCTTTATTTTTCACTGTACAAATTAGGATGTCAATGCCCATTGTAACAAGGGAAATCTTACTATGATGAATATTTTGCCATGTTCTTAAGTGTGACATAAAAAAAAAAAAAAAAAAAAAAAAAAAAAAAAAAACCACCACTAATAACTTTTAAGTCTCTGATTAGTCAAGCCACTAATCTCACATGTTAACCAATTAACGACCGCACTACCTTTCACTTGAAGAAATGGGACAGAAATACTTTTTTTTTTAACTTATTAGAGTCTAATTAATAGAAAATATATAATAGGAAAAACTATATTTATTCACATTTAAACCTTTGAAATATTTGCTATGCAAAGGCACATCACATTTATTACAAACAGTTATCGTTTGACTATCATAGTGTTTGCATCTTTTTCTTTTGATTGTTCATCTTTTCTTGATAACATGGTTTGTGGCATCCTTTCACGTTTTGCTTCAAGCTAAATTATGAAAGAAAAATGGTTGGCCAACACAATCAGTATATGAAGATTGAATGCTGTAAATTTTGAGAATATTCTTCCCTTGTTTACAGCAATCCTAGCACAACACTTCTTTCAAAATTTAACAGAGAATCTTTACGATCTACAGCAATATTATAAAGTTTCCAAGCATTTCATTCAACTCTGTGAATTCATCAAAATAGGCCACCACCTTTCTTACCCTCTGCTTGTGCTTGATTAAAACACACAACACAAGAAAATTCTCCATAAAGGTCCATGCCACCCTTACATTTGTTGTAATTTAGGATGAGTTTAGTTTGCTTTAAAGGCACTTTTTCTCTCGAGTATCTCTGGGCCACTAAAAGCAGATCAATTATGTCAAAGTTAGTTTTTCCACGATTATTATGAAACTCTCATTCCACTGAACTGCTGCGAATGCCAAGCTCCTTATCAAACGTGGTGTCATATTTCCATGTTCTTTTATCATTTTATTTAGAGGTACGAGACAATTTTCTGTTCTCACAGATTATTCAAGTGGCATGAAATTCCGGTTCATTCAATTCTGACAATAACACGTGGAACAAAAAATATTTGTCAAAATATATATAATCATTTGAAGGAACTTCCACCACACTTAAAACATGTTACAGCATCTACCCCTAGTCCAAGACCAGTCAGTTTCTTTGCAAATTTTTGAGTATATATCAAAATGAAATACAGTCAAAAGTCTTTAATCCATACTCGTCGGGACTTCGGCGATTCCGGATTATAGATCCTCTCAGTTTAAATCTGGTAACATGGCATGCAGAAATTATAAAATTAAAAATATGAAACCGTAATTTATGAAATAAAGAGCAATTATGATCTAAAGGGTATCAAAATTTACAAAAAAAAGCTTAATATTTATTTGTTTACTTTATTAACCATTTCTTTCAACGCGCGCATGCGTAAAGCATACATTACGCATAGTTGAAATTAGAAAATTGCAACCCGAAAACTATTTGATGTGTATTCGTGATATTTATAATGACGAGGAATTTGATTTAAATTATATCAAAGACGGAGTACATTGAGATGAAATACTGCATTTAGTAAGGAATTATAAGCCGAATAAAAACAACTGCCCTGAAGATAAGGATAATGCTGACAGATCAACTTCCAGTTCATTGTGCGCAGCGACGTCCCCCGCAGAGCAGCGTGAAATTGATAAACAGATTTTGGAATGGTTAGAGAAACGAAGGATATGCCTTTTTTGCAGCAATTCCACTTTTTGTTTGATGGACATCGAACATGCTTTCGCTTTGTAGATCCTTTGACAACTCCTGAATCAGAAATTCTTTTTGACATAATCGAAAGTTCAAGCTTACTTTTATTGTTGTGTAGCAAATTATACGTAACTTTTTTAATCACAGTAATCAAAATTTTAATCTGTGGATACTCTAAATTTTAAACTACACATCATGTTTTGGTTTTATTAATTTATTGGTATACTTTTTGATCAATTTAGTTTATCTTAATTTCCACAAAAAGATTAGCTAGCGCCATTCTTTGTCCACTTCATTTTCAAGCTTGTTGTACTCGCATTCTCACTCAGACAATGGATATAGGTGAATTTTCCTGTAATAAACTCAGTTTTCCATGACTTAAATTAAGTTAGAATTTATTATGAATAGATGCAGAAAAATTATCTCTTTAATTTGAGGCTACTTTCTTAATTCTAGCCTTTATCAATTTTAAGTTATAGCCTTTTAATTATTAAAACTTCCTAAGTTTTTCTTCTAACAAGAAAGGGGGGAAGAAGAGTTACAAAAGTTCACTTTCAACAAAAAAATGTGCGTTCTTTGGACTTGAAAAACCACTTCCTGTATGGGTTGCCACGTTTTACAAGTGCATGTGTTTAGGCGCGGCCTCAACTCGGTGCGATTCTGGCGAGTTGGGAGATCTGTTGTAATTTCAAACTGGTTGGTTTTGGTATAAATTTTTAAGGCGGGAGTTTTTGGTAACTGGTTTTTCACCTTTTCAGGCGTGGGTTTAGCCAAGGTGGTTGTCCCGTCATATCTAAAAAGGGGTTGTTTTCGCGAGAAACTCTCTCTTCTCTTCTCGCTCCTGGACACCAGCATCTGCAGTTGCTGCTTTTGCCTCCTGTCGACGTTTAAGCAGTTCTTAATGATGAGAGTCCCTTTCTTTTCTCGGAACAGCTTAAAAAGAAAAAATAAAGATATATATATAATCTCCTCAACGGGAGTCTAACTTCAAGGAGAATGTGGCTTTCAACGGTTCACCTTTCTGCTCTACTGCTTTGTACCCTAGAATTTGGAATCCGATAGATCCCGTTACCTGTTTACTACCCTCCAAATGGTGGGCTCTTTCTTCTGTCCAGAATGTTGAGGAATTGATGGACTGTCTACAGTTTCCAGTGGACTGAACCAGCTTTTCCTTCAAGAGACCTCGGTCATGGAGCCTCTGTAGGGTGATATTATTCTACTTAAATTTTTCTTTGCTATTTCATTAAATTCAGAAAATTTCTTAAATCTTAAGGCCTTCGAGATTTCGCAGGAGTTGTTATAGGTGTGGGTGAGGTTAATTGTAAAAAAACAAAACAAAAAAAATTGTTCTTCCAAGTAAATTAGATAAAAATGAGTTATGCATAAAGTGATTTTTTTTTTAGAGTTTGGGATTATTAATGTTAATAAAATCCTAGAAGTTTTAAAAAAAAAAAAAAAAAAAGAGAAGTAAAATTAATTTGGTTCGGTATTATTATTATTAGAGTTGTCTGGTAAAATATTTCAAGTTCAAAAAGCTAATTCTTAAAGAAATTATTTTGTTTTATTGTTACTATTATTATTATTTGAAGAACCGTTAGAGTAAACTGAATTATCCAGCTAAAGTTAATAGTTAAGGTTCAGAATGTGGAAAAAAAAAATATCTCTTGCAGTTCTGCAGTAAAGCAGTGTTCACTGAAAATTAAATTAGTGCTAATAGTTGGTACATTAAGTCATTACTCTGAAATAATTCCTCCTGGAAGTTTTGTTAAGGTTGCTCTCCCTTTGGATAACTGACTTTTTTTTTTTGTGTGTGTGTGTGTGTGTGTGTGTGTGTGTCATAAGGGTGTAAATTCAATTGTTATATTAGAAATTTGAAAATTGTCCTATAGAAAACCTTTGAAGAAAAAAAAAAGTCTAAGAAATATGTTAAACTTAATAGAATTAAATTTTTATGTGCAATATGGAGAAATAAGTCTATAGAAAAATGTTAAACCTATTTGTATTACGGGTGAAATTTTATAAATTAGATATAATCTTATGTTAATTTTTTTATATATATTTCCCGGGAATATCTTAATAGCTATAATATCTATTTTATTTTTTTATTTGATTCTATCACATGATAATTGAAATTAATGGATGTTCATTTCCAAATAAACAAATTTATTTTCATTGAAATATTCAAGTGTACATTTGTTTGATTTGCTCATTTCATTCACCAGGTCACCTAAAATTGAATTACGTAATCCGGTAAAATTTAACACAACGCAAATGTATTTTATGCAGCGCCGGAGCAAGGTTATCCGGCGCCCACCTGCAAAATACCTGAAGTCGCCCCCCCCTTTTTCAAAATTTTTGTATAGGAGAAGGAAGTTTTGAAGAAAGCATTTGTTGAAATTGATTTTAATAATTTATTGAGAATAATTTATTTTTCTGTATTTCATATTTACAAATTTTTCTATAATTTCTTTCACATCTAGTTCCTGACAGATTTCATTTTCAATGGCAATCAAAGCTAAATATACGAGTCTTTCCTGCGATATACTTGAACGTAAATATGTCTTGATCAATTTTAATTTGGAGAATGATCTTTCGCTACTAGCAACACTAACAGGAATGCTAAGTAGTATTCTCAGTACGATCTACGAGTTCGGGAAGCACAAATTATTTGACACAATTAAGTTCAAAATATCGAATGGGTCATTCATACCGGCTGTAAAAATGTCTTTTGAAGCTACTATTTCATCATAGAGTTCTTCTGCGTTAATATCTTTATTGTCACCACACTGTAACAATTTTTCTAATTTATCACATTTTATTTTCAAATTTGTGTTATCGATTTCTGATAAATTACCCAGGACACTAAAATTATCGTAGTGATTTTTCATTGAACCAAATCTTTCGTTTAATGATGTCCAAGCAGTATCCAAAATTCTAAAAAAGACATTTGCCCTAAACTTCTCTTCTGGAGATTGAGGGGATTCGTCAGCATGTTCGTAATCGAAGTGACATTTCTTTTTCCTTCTTCGGACTTCTTCAACAGTTTTAAATTGTAGCTCACCATCAACTTCTTCACTAAGTTCTTTGGCTTTCTCAAGAATACTTTTGTAATTGATATCACTTCTATATTCTTCAATGAATGTTTTTAAGTTACTTATTGCCTTTAAGGCTAGTGTAATACTCAAACCCTTTTCTTGCAATTGTTTGCTGACAGGATTAATTCTGTTAAGCAAATCGTGCCAAACTATCAAGGAACAAATAAATTTATAATCCTTGATTTTGGTACACAGACTGCGTGCTTCATGTTGCACTTCGTTTGAAAAGCATTCATCTTCGGATATTTCAAAGAGAGCATCATAGATTTCTCCTAGTTGATATCTTAAAGGGTCCTAGTTGATATCAAGGAAGGAATTTTACGTCGGCAGTAATCAAAGAACTCTGCAAACTACTCGGCATTGACAAAACCCAAACGACGCCATTACATCCCCAGTCGGACGGCATGGTAGAGAGGTTCAATCAAACCATCCTTAACGACCTCTCATTAGTGGTTTCCAGAAACCAACAGGACTGGGGCAAGAAATTACCACTGTTTTTACTGGCTTACCGCAGTGTTGTCCACGAGACTACCGGCTATTCCCCATCACAGATGCTCTTCAGTCATGACCTTTGTCTGCCTTGTGATCTCTTGTTTGGTCGTCCTCCGGATGCTCCTTTATCGCCTGAGGAATATATTCAAGATCTCCAGGTCCGGTTTAAAGTGATGCACAACTTTGCACGAGAGCGAGTCAACTTGGCGACGGAGAAGATGGAGACAAGGTTTGGTTGTGGAATCCGACTCAATGGAAGGGACTCTGTCCGAAATTACAGTCAGCTTGGGATGGTCCGTACACAGTCCTAAACAGGCTGAATGACGTCGTGGTTCGGATCCGCAAGCCTTCGAACTCTAGAACTCTAAACCTAAAGTCGTTCGTTACAACAGGTTAGCTCATTACTATGGCCACAGTACGCAATGTAAACAATTGTAAATAGTGTAAGACCATGGTCCTTATTGTTTCTAAATGTGTATTTAGTATTTGTTTTGTATTTTATATTTGATTTGATTTGTATTTAGTATTTGATTTGACTTGTACTTAGCCTTTGATTTGTTTAAGTTAGTTATTGCATTTAGTGTTTATGTTGTTTATTGTATTTATGCCACAGTTGTAAGTTTGGCTTTCTATCCAGGGATTGTACTGCCCGAGATGTGCAGTCCTTGGGAAGGGGGCAGTGTTACGGATTTGGTATTTAAATAGCTAATGTTAGTTGAATTGTAAATTAAATGGTTTTATTTCCCGCGCAGTGCAGCGCGTGATGAATATTAAAAGAAAGCTAAGTCGGAAAATTGAAAATACAGAGCGCGTGCATGTAACATTTAATAAATATCTCTTTTTTATTTCGAGAAAGTACTAAAAAATTTTCGCGCGCAATTTTAAAATCATATAAATAGGAGGAAAACCTCTCAATTCGAGAGTTAGTTAGTTTGTTGTTGTTTTAAGAGTTTGTTTAGAAAACTGCTCTTGTTGATTGCAGCGAATTCGCGGATTAGCTTTCTTTAGCTGTTTTGAATTAAGTTCTCTTGAACGTTTGAGTAGTTAGAAGATACTACTGTGATATATTGTGATACTGCACGATTATTTGAGGACATTTAATCATACTTGTTGTGATAATAATAAATTTTCTTCATTTTTTATCGGACTTGTGCATTCATTTGGTAACGAACCAGTATGCACGCAACATTACAATAAAAATAGTTTACTAGTTTATAAAATAATATGATCGGTGATGAAAAATATAACAACCTGGCAAGTAGGTACCTAATCGCCTTTTATAAATTGCCGTGCCGTACACTTAGTACACCAGTTAGTGTGCTCCTGTTTGCCTTGAGTATCGCTGATTACTTGAACGATGAATATCTATCGTAGTGTTTAAGGCGTCTTAGGTTAGGTTTCGCTTTTTATCTTGCTTACATTCTTCTGCATGCTTGGACAACTGAAAACTATACATCAGTGTAAGTTTTTAATAACCATGGAATTTATACTGTGCTATAACTACTATTTCTTTAACTATAGGTAGATTAAAAATCAGTAACCAGGATGAGTAAGAAGGAAACGAAAGGCACATATATTTAAATATGATTGTAGGCAAATGGTAATAAGAATATTACAATTAACTCATGTAGTAATTCTTGAATACTTTGTAAAGTTTTTTTGGGGGGAGGGAAAAAAACACACTGGTCCGCGAAATTTTTTCGTAAATTTTACCGGTCAGTGGACCAAAAAAGGTTGAGAAGCACTTCTCAATACACTTTTGCGTTTTCGTCCATGCAAATCTTGCCCTCTCTTCCAACTCCCATGAAAAATATGAAAAGTTGGTGATAGAAAGGGCTAATACGTTCCCCCTTCCCACCCTCACAGAAATTTTCAAGAAAAAAAAGCCGTAGTTCACTGTATACATTTTAAATAAAAATATAATAAAAACGATAAAATAAGGATAAATAGAAATTATATTAAGTAAAATAAAGTAAGAACGTACTTCATCAAATGGACTTTTCTTTTCCAATGGTAGTAAGGTTATTGTGCATCGAAAATTTTCTTCGCCAACCACTCAGTGATACTCAGTAAATACGAAAATGGAATGTGTAGATGATACATAACACGTGGCTTTCTAGACACATGGAAAATGACCGTTATCTGGTACTAGATGCGCAGAAGGGTCATTGTGAGTAATGAACAACGTCTGAGGGTATTACCTAGGATTTAAACTTGCTCACAGCGTGAATTCCAAATTCCAACTTCTTTGTATGATACTATCCCTGATGATTGACGGATGAGGTGACCAAGGCATTGATGGATGAGGCTGGAGAGGAAATGTGGGGAAGGGCAACACCTCCTAATACCTTCTGTTAGGTGTTGGGAGGGGGCACGAACTCCCATGGTCCTTGTCCTGTGTAAGAATTCAAGGAATATTTTTCTTCTTCCCCGATAAGTGCACATTCTTTTTCATTAAAAAAAAAAGCTCTGTGTCATTCGCTGATCGGCGCCCCTCCTTTAGTCGGCACCCGCCTGCAAAGAAGGC